CCAGCCCTAATGTCTATGAAATCTATGGAGCCCCACTAGGTACCCTGCGACACCAGACAATACCAGGGAGCTAGATGCCCTTAACCAAGTTAGCACTAGGGAATATGGATAGTCTGCAGCTTAGCTCAGCTGGGTCCCTATCTGCTGGCCAGTACTATGCCAGCCTTATGACATAAGCAGGCCATTTGCTAGGAGGAAGCAGCTGCCTGCCTGCTAAAGGAAAAGCCTATGTGTGAATAACCCACAAGGAATTGAAATAAATCCTAGTTTTGCACCAGTGTCTGACTGGAATAATGGACACAGCCCCAGAGCTGATAGTTTCTAGAGGTTACCACTTAAGGTTGCAGGTGTTGCTTGTGCCCAAGGAACCAGGATGCTTTGTGATTCCAGGAGCTGTCACATTGTAGGTTGTGTGCATGCAGCTGGGATGCCAGATTCCCCTCTTTCTCCTCTTTCCAGGGTGATGTGCGACTGAGTCCAGCCTGCACCAGCCCAGCCCAGCCCAGGGCAGTGGGATCCCTTTTCCTCCATTTTGTTTCCCTTGCCCTTCATTTCCATTCCTCGGTGGGACACAGCATGAATGGATGCACCGGTGCCAGCTCAGGTAGGATCTCATTAGCAAGATCCTTGTGTGTTTTGTAGGGGCCATAAGTCTCCTGGGATTGTGGGGCCTTTAGAGCTCCCTACCGCTGAACCCGTGAGAAGCACAGGGAGACTCCTGACACTGGCTACAGCAGGACCTCAGGATCCCCTGCGATTGTGTAAATAAGTTCGGAGGTCTACCCTCCCTAGAGTTACTACCAGAAAAACAGCGCCACCCCACCCCTGCCCCTGAGACTCAGGCCACCAGCAGTACAGTATGTGCTGGTGCTGTGATGAAGACAGCACCTCCTAATACAGACACAGCCTAGGCTAGCAGAGGAAACAGCAGCCCCATCTCCCTGGATGACATGGACTGAAGTGGGCCAGACCAGTCCTCTGTCAGCAGAGCTGTATGCATACCAAATGCTTTGTTGGAGCACCTTTGGCAGCTGAGAGGGGAAAGATTCACATACGTATGAAGAGAAGCCAGCCTGGCAGATCTTTATAGTGCAGTGTAAGGCTCAGAGTTATGCACACTCCAGCGTACCCTGGGGAGGTGCCTGGTGGAGAAGGACAAATTCCCACGGTCAGTTTAATTATGATGGCAGTACCTCATAGTATAGATATACCCTATGCTGTGTCCACACCAGGGGATTTGCTGGAGCATCTCTGTCAGCTGAGTGATGGGATATTTCACATCCATGTCCACTGTAAGTAGGTTGGCAATTTTTTGTAGTGCAGAGTAAGAGTCAGGGCTATGGGGGCTGGATGAGCCTGGAGCCAAAAGGACTGAGTGTGTACTGCTTGTGACTGCAGCTCCAGGAGGCCTTTGAGGACGTGGCGCTGTACTTCAACCAGAAGGAGTGGGAGCTACTGGGAGATGGAGACAAAGTGCTTTATCAGGACCAGATGCTGAGTAATTACCAAGCCCTTGTTTCCCTGGGTAAAGTTCTGTTTCTTGCTTCTCCCCAGAGCTGGGTAAGCTCAGAAATGTCCCCTTTATCTCCTTGTTCTTCTCTAGTCTTCTCGTAAAGTTTGGGCTCCTGGTTTAAATCTATTTTCTCCCCACTACTCTGTCATTGATCAGGTCTCTATTCTACTTTCTATTTGCATATTTAGATGACCCCAGTTTTCTATGATTCTATGATCCTCCTTTATTTGATCCACAGCCTTTCTTTTGGGTCTTGGTCAAACTCCTGGTGCTTCCATATTCAACAATTTCTCTGCCCTTCTAAGCATTTCCACACCATCAGCAACCCACTTCTCATAAATATTCATGCTCAAATCATTTTAACTTCCTCCTTCTCTTTCCTATTGTATCTTGTCCAGACATTTAACAGTCCTCACCTGCATGTTGCAGTTGTGTCTAATCCACTTCCTTCTCTTTGACTAACCAGCCAAAATGTTTGCGGGGTCTGATCAGCATCTGCTGCTTCAACACATGGCTTTTCTATTTCCTCAACTCAACTTCTAGGGACATTTCAACATAGAATAGAACCCAAATGTAGCAGGTCCTGGTCTCCAAGAGTGGCCATGATGCCTCCTGGTGGTCCCTCAACTCCTGCCCCCACTCCAACTCCTTGGGGTACCCTGTCTTCTTCCTCACCTGCCATGGCTCGATATACTTATTCTCAGTATGGAAGGGAGGTTACCCCAGGGTCTCAGAGTAAGCCCTGTCCAGCTCCACCCTGCCACTTGGACACTGTTGTGGCCTTCTAGGCCCTATCAGTGCCTCAGGACACTAGTTGCCTTATGGACTATTCATGGTTTCCATCCACCCCTTCAGCTATGGCCATGCCTCACAGATTCATAGATGCTAGGGTCAGAAAGGACCTCAACATATCATCGATTCTAACCCCCTGCCTAGGCAGGAAAGGGTGCTGGGGTCAGATAACCCCAGCCAGATGCCTATCCAGCCTTCTCTTAAAGGCCCCCCAAGATGCTACCGTAGATCCATGCACCAGTTTGTGTAGGCTTCAGCCCCCTTGGCTTTAGCCCACTAGTTACTCTTGCTGTAGATCGCTAGCCTAGGTCTACTTCCTCTGACCCAGCTTCGAAGTCTCAGCCTGGTCTGGCCATTGGCCCATCTCACTCAGGTTTGACCCTTGGCCCCCTTGGCTTTAGCTTGCCCTTGTCTTCCTTTCGGGTGAAGACTCTGGCACTCTGGGTCTTAGCCCACCCCTGTCTCACCATCGGGTGCAGGCTCTGGCCCTCTTAGCTTACCTGGATAGGACTCAACCTGGGACACCTCCAAAATACCTGTGTGTAGCCTCCTATCCTCCCCTCCAGCCACTGCTCAGTCCTCTGGCAAAACTGGAACAAATGCTGCAAGCCAAATGCTTTAAATAAAACACTCAAAGCTCCTCCTGGGTCACCAGGCTGCTGCAGAAGCCTCTTCCCCACTCATTGGCCCTCTCTGAGCCCCTGGGGTATCTGCTCTGGCCTGCAACTTCCACCCTTGCCCGCCTGCACTGGTAGCAGCTCTCCCTAATGCAGAGCTCAGGGCTGTACTGCCTCTCTGCCTCAAGAACCCAGGCTTATATCCCCTGAGCTCCTCCTCTTCCCATCAGGTGCTCGCTTGACCAGCCATAGGTGTGCCCTCTCAGCTTGATGGGCAGCTTACTGCACCTAGGCTACACTTGCTGTCTTGCTGCCTTCCCTCCTGCAGCTAACCCCTCTTCAGCCCTGGAGCCCTTTCCTCTACAGTCTTTTTCTCAAAATAACAGGGGCCCCTTGCTCCCTGTTACACCATGTACTTTGAAAAAGTATTTTCTGTAAGTTTCAGTCCATGTGCCTTTCTAACACCTCCATCATCACAGACCATGAATTATGTCTTGAATGCATTAAGATGTGTGCTCTTAAGTGCACTCTGCCAGTCTATCAAGTTTTCTTGCCCTTCTTTTAAAATATCTTCCAGTTTTGGAAGGTTCCCTCAGAACATCATAATTCACTGTATGGGGAATCTAAGCGCTTTGGTGATGAAAGTGATTGCTGTGATGAAAAGAAGTGGACTTAATGCCAACTCTGGTGAAAATGAGTGATCATTTCCAAGGGCTCTTTATTACCAGTGCCTGTTCTGACTAGTACAAAGGGTCGACATGTTGATTTAACTAGTCAGACATGCTTTTATAGTTTCATAGTTTCATAGTTGGTATGGTCGGAAGGGACCTGAGCAGATCATCAAGTCCAACCCCCTGCCACGGCAGGAAAGAGCACTGGGGTCAAACGACCTCAGCAAGGTGTTCTTCTAACCTCCTCTTAAAGACCCCCAGGGTAGGAGCCAGCACCACTTCTCTTGGAAGTTGGTTCCAGATCCTAGCCTCCCTGACAGTGAAGTAGCGCCTCCTGATGTCTAGTCTGAATCTACCCTCTGCCAGCTTGTGACCATTATTTCTAGTCACTCCTGGTAGCGCTTGGGGGAACAGGGACTCCCCCAATGCCGGCTGGTCCCCTCTGACTAGTTTGTAAATGGCTACTAGACCCCCCTCAGCCTTCTCTTGTGGAGGCTCAGCAGGTTCAGGTACTGTAGCCTCTCTTCATAGAGCCTGCCCTACTGCCCTCTGATCATGCAAGTGGCCCTCCTCTGGACCCTTTCTATGTTGTCCATATCCCTCCTGAAGTGCGGCGCCCAGAATTGGACGCAGTACTCCAACTGGGGCCTGACCAGTGTCGCATAGAGGGGGAGGATCACCTCCTTGGACCTGCTCGAGATGCATCTGTGGATGCACGACAAGGTGTGGTTGGCCTTCCTGACCACATCCCCACATTGGCGGCCCACGTTCATTTTGGCATCAATAATGACACCAAGATCCGTTTCTGCCTCTGCACTGATGAGAAGGGAGTTCCCCAGCCTGTAGGTATGCTGCTGGTTCCTCCTCCCCAGGTGCAGCACCTTGCATTTGTCAGTGTTGAAATCCATCCTGTTCTCATCTGCCCGCCCCTGTAACCTGTCCAGGTCCGATTGCAGCCTATTCCTCCCTTCTAGCGTGCCCACTTCTCCCCACATCTTAGTGTTGTCTGTGAATTTGAACAAGGTGCTTTATACCCCCTCGTCCAAGTCGCTGATGAAGATATTGAACAGTGAGGGTCCGAGGACCGAGCCCTGGGGGACCCCACTGCCAACATCCCTCCAGGTTGAAAATGACCCGTCCACCACCACTCTCTGGGTGCGGCCCTCCAGGCAGTTAGTGACCCATTTGACTGTGTAGGTGTCGACGCCAGTCCCCTAGTTTTTTAATGAGATAGGGTGAGAGACAGTGTCGAAGGCCTTCTTAAAGTCCAGAAAGACTACGTCCACTGCTACCCCTGCATCTAAGGATGTTGTGACCTGGTCATAGAAGGCCACCAGGTTGGTCTGACAGGACCTGCCTCTAATGAACCCATGTTGGTTGCCCCTAAGCATAATCTTCCCTGCTGGCCCCTTGTGGACATGCGCCAGGATAAGTCTCTCAAAAAGCTTACCCAGGATCGAGGTAAGACTAACTAGCCTATAGTTCCCCGGGTCCTCCTTCCTCCCTTTTTTGAAAATGGGAACCACATTGGCCCTTTTCCAGTCTTCTGGCACCACACCAGAGCACCATGACCGCCAAGAACATCTACATGCTGAAGTGCTAGGGTCACACTCTGTCCAGCTTCAATAGCCAAACTCAGTATCAAAACCCCTGCAGAACAACTGTACCTGAATTTGATGAGGGTGAGTCTAGGGCTGTGCCAGAGCAGGGGGGGTGGGATAGGGGCCTGTTACAGGGAACTAGGGTGTCCTGCTCCTTTTAAGGGCTGGAACTGCTAGGGGGAGAGCCCTAGCAGCAAGTTGGGAGCCCCAGCTGCTGGTTACCAGGGCAGCCAGAACCAGTTAGTTGGCCCACACCTGCCAGCGGTCAGCTGACCAGAAGGGCAGGGCCTGGCTCATATATAAACCCCAGGGCTGAGGCCAGGAAGGCAGTTCCCTGCTAGCAGCCAGAGGGGAAGGAGCCTCCAGGGACGAAGTACCCAGTGATGCTGCAACTGCCTGGTATGCTACACCTAGGGCTAAGGGGGCTCCATGAGCTCCACAGGTACCCTTGCCTACTAGACACTTAGTGCCAGGGACGAAACTGGATCCTTTTAAAGGGTCAGAGCACCCCCTGACCTTTTGTATAATGTTATAGCCCAGAGGCTTGTGTTTTGTTTGCTGTTCTATACCACCGGTGGTTTGGGTGAGGTTATCTGGGGAAAGAAGAGGCCTTGTTGGGACTTGAGCATAGGGACCCTGGCACCAGAGAGGGTGTGGCATTTGGGGGGGCACAGACCCTGGTGCCAGAGAGGGCACAATGACAGGGCTGCGGAGAGCCCAGAGAGAAGACAAGGGGGCCAAATCACAGCCAGGCTTAGACAGGACAACGGTGGTACCATCTGTGAGGCTTGGGGCATGGTAAAGGGGTGGTTGGAGCCACGCATGCACCCCATAAAGCTGGGGTGTCCCAGGACATCTATTTTGCAACGGGACCCACCAGGGGTCCAGGACCCACGGGGTTCAGGGAAGTCCATCAGGACTGTGCCTAAGTAGACTTAAAGGCAGCCTCCCTACCCAGTACAATTACATCAAGATGTGGCGGGCGAGAATAGAGGGTGCCCAGCAGGCTGAACTGGCACGGTCGAGGGGGGCCTAGGGGTAACACAGCCATCCTTGAGGACCCCATCCTGTGACAGGGCCATAGGCAGGGGGAGATCATGCCCTGACAGTGCAGCAGTGGAGGGGGTCTTGCAAAAGAGTTGGGTTGTGGGGGAACATCCATCTATATTTCCCACCAGATACATGGCCTGGGAAATGTACTGAGCATCACTAACCCGTAAATAGTACTGGACTCAGGACAGACCACTGGGAATAAGAATCTAGATTCTCTAAGTAGTCCTTAACCTGGTCTTTCATTATCCAGGCTCCTTTGGCTCCTTCCCCATCTTTGG